GCCTGGCTTATGTCAGAATTCCGGATCCGAAACGAGTTAAACTCGCTAGTAGAGCCTATGAATGCGTATTCATTGGGTATGCAGCAAACAGTAAGGCATACAGGTTTTATGACCTAAATGCCAGAGTAATCATAGAATCAAACGATGTTGAATTCTTTGAAGACAAATTTCCCTTCAAATCGAGAAATAGTGGGGGCACACAATCGAGTCACATTCCTGTGATAAAAAGCACTGAAAGCAGTGACAAAGTAGAAACAGAACTTCGAAGAAGTAAAAGAGCAAGAGTTGCTAAAGAATATGGGCCCGATTATGCGGCCTATAATGTAGAAGAAGATCCAATAAATCTTCAAGAAGCACTGTCATCTATGGATGCAAACTTATGGCAAGAAGCCATTAATGATGAGATAGATTCTCTAGAATCTAACAAGACCTGGCACTTAATAGACATACCACCGGGCTGCAAACCAATTGGTTGTAAATGGGTTTTGAAAAGGAAACTAAAACCTGATGGAACGATTGAGAAATACAAGCCTCGTCTTGTAGCCAAGGGTTTTAGACAAAGAGAAAATATAGATTTCTTCGACACCTTTTCTCCGGTCACTAGAATTACATCCATTAGGGTACTCATTTCAATAGCAGCTATTTATAACTTAATAGTACACCAAATGGATGTGAAGACAGCCTTTTTAAACGGTGACTTAGAAGAAGAAATCTATATGGAACAACCAGAAGAGTTTGTAATCCAAGGTCAAGAAAGAAAGGTCTGTAAGTTAGATAAGTCTCTGTATGGACTAAAACAAGCCCCTAAACAATGGCATGAAAAGTTTGATAACTTAATGATAATTAATGGGTACAAAGTGAATGAAAGTGACAAGTGTGTTTATTACAAATCTGAGAATCGCATTTGTACTATCATATGTCTATATGTAGACGATCTACTTATATTTGGATCAAACGTTCAGGCCATTAATGATATGAAATCATTGTTATGCAATAACTTTGATATGAAAGACCTCGGAGAAGCAAGCGTGATCCTGGGCATCAAGATCACGAGATCCGAACAAGGAATTTCTTTGGATCAATCTCACTATGTGAAGAAGATCTTAAAGAAATATAAATACTTTGATTGTAAACCTGCATGCACCCCGTATGATCCAAGTGTGAAACTGTTTAAGAACACTTGAGAAAGTGTCAAACAAGCAGAATATGCGAGCATCATTGGCAGTCTTAGGTATGCCACTGATTGTACTAGACCCAACATTGCATATGTCATAGGATTGTTGTGCAGATTTACAAGTAGGCCGAGTAACGAACATTGGCAAGCTATTAAGCGAGTAATGAGGTACCTTAAAAGGACTATGGACCTCGGCCTACACTATCAGAAATTTCCTGCTGTACTAGAAGGGTATAGTGATGCAGATTGGAACACCTTATCGGATGATTCCAAAGCTACTAGTGGTTATATATTTAGTATAGCCGGAGGAGCTATATCTTGGAAATCAAAGAAACAGACCATTCTGGCACAGTCCACAATGGAGTCTGAGATGATAGCATTAGCTACAGCTAGTGAAGAAGCAAGTTGGTTAAGATGCTTGCTAGCTGAGATCCCTTTATGGGAAAAACCTATACCAGCTGTGTTGATCCACTGCGATAGTACCGCGGCTATTGCAAAAGTTGAGAACTGTTACTATAATGGTAAAAGACGTCAAATTAGAAGAAAACATAGCACTGTTAGAGATTGTATATCTAAAGGAGCTGTGAGAGTGGATCATGTACGCACTGATGAGAACTTAGCAGATCCTTTGACGAAAGAATTAGCTAGAGAGAAAGTCCATAATACATCCAAAAAGATGGGACTAATGCCTATGAAGCAATTAGTTACTCATGATGGTAACCCGACCTAAATGACTGAAGATCCCAAGACTTAGGTTCAATGGGTAATAACAAGTTGTGAGTAATATGAAAATGATCATGCAAGTAAAGCATGAATCCTGAAGTAATGACAGGATGAGATAATAGAAACTCTTAATGATATCTATTCTCTGTATGAGGGAGTACCTAGGCTACAGGAGTACTCTTGATAGATTCACCTATGTGACTGTGGAACTGAGGCCGGTTCCTATGGAATTTCAAGGCAGAATTCCTAGAGCATTCACTAAACCGGGATACACGTGCAAGGCCACTAAAGCACGGGCTACAAGAATACACCTTACGAAAAGGTTGTGTGCGGGTCTGATGTCCGAGATAGAGTTCAAGAAAATAGTGTCACTCTTGTTGAATCAGAATCCTACTCGCTACGCTAAGGTTCAAGTCGTAGACACCTTTGCTTATGCACAATCTTAGAAACGTTTGACGGACTTCTAAAATTTCCTTTAAATTCAAGTGGGGGATTGTTGGAACTATAATAATTATAGTAATAGAAATTGAAAAGTGAATTTGAAAAGATTCATTTTAGTCCCACATCGGATGTTGGAATTATATTAATGGGAATTGGAAAGTGAATTTGAAAAGATTCATGTTAGTCCCACATTGGATGTTGGAATTATATTAATGGGAATTGGAAAGTGAATTTGACAAGATTCATTTTAGTCCCACATTGGAGGAATGGAAATATCAGCCTCACTAGCTACCTATAAATAAAGGGTAAAAATCCAGTAGTGAGTACTCCGGATTTCACAAATTCACACGAATTTTGATTTCCCTCTCTCTCCCTTAATTCTCTTCATCTAAACAATTTTCTTTTCTTGGTTTTTTCGACTGGCTATTTCAGCCAGATACTGGACTGGCTATTTTCGCCAGATAATTTAGAAAGGTGTATTTCTAGAGCGATTTATCAGTGTGCAACTGATAATCATAATTTTGAACGGGCTGTTTTATCCTGGAGGCGTCGTCGTAAATCGACTGTTTTGCATATTTTGGCAGTACGGCGAAACGTCTTAAAGAAAGCGACCTAGTACGCGACTCGTCCCGATAATTTCCTTGTGCCAATATTTCAAATCCGAAAACAACATGTTTTGATGTAGCGGAACATTACTGTTAAACATATTAGATCTGGCAACACAAACTGGCTAACCTTGTTCGGTGTTTCAACTTGGTCGCTTTAGAAGGATGAAATAATTTGATTTTTTTCCCTAAAGAAACTAAGCTTGCTTGATACGGAATGTTAGAAATTTGGTATGATAATCCTGGATATCTTCAAGGAATCGTGTCCGTACACTTTCCGAACAAAGTATTTCGACCCTATTATTTGTCTGGGTTCACGAAATCTGTGGGGATTATTCTTGAAGAACAATCTGTTTCTGTCAATAGAGAATCAGGAATGTAGAGAGAAAGTATGGTTTTCGTTATTCTGTCGGTTAAAACTGAGGTCAAATGACTCCTTATATTGAAGATTAATAACAAAGAAAGTATGGCTCTGCCCCTTGGAACCCCACGGGGCGCTGCCCCGCACCCCGCCAGGGGGATTGCACGTTGGCTTGACGTGCGTGCACTCCGCACTACCCTAACTCGTTTCCAAACTTAACGCATAATTGTATCGGCCTACAATAAATCACATTACTACTAAAATACATTGGTGATACTAAAATCACCAACACGGAACTCACATAAAAAACCACAACATGGCATATCAAACTGAGAAAAAGATGAATTCCCCACTTGCGTCTCAAAATGAGACTCCTTGTTGTAACTACATGTTTTGATCAAAATCTCCCCCACAGATCATCAAAGTTAATACAAATGGGTCATAGAATCCAAGTGGACATTTTGTAAAAGGATTTATGTGTAAGACTGGATCAAAAATGCTCTTCTTGCAAAAATAAGAGGAATCTTCTTTGAACTTCATATAACTCAGAAATGCAACTTACAGATTTCATTTTTAAAATAGATTTCATTAATGCTATTAATATTTCACAATCAACTTACAATAGTCTTATCAACTTGATCAAACCTTTGCATTGTCCAAAAATTATTAGTGTGGCAAAGACTCAATTTATGGAGCATTAAGTTTTGGTTTATTTAGACCTCTATGTCTAATTTTAATTTAATTAATATTATTCATTTTATTAGTATTAATTATTTTAGATCACATATTATAAATTTTACTCATTAATTTACTAAAAATTTAATCAATCTCATTAAAGTATTAATAATTATTTTAATAATATTTAATATTATAAAAAATAATTAGACTTGAAAAGAACTCAAATCTTACTTTAAGACTCTAAATTTATTTGTTGAGCCGTTCTTGCCTGCCATTTCCCTAATCTTCAACGGTAGAGAACTTTTTAACATTGTGCAGCAGAATGTAGATCAAATGTCACTTTTCAGGTTTACAATTTGGCGTTTCTGGAAACAAAAAAATGACAAAGTGTTGAGTCATAGATGAAAATGAGAAGGGTCTCCGCAACCAGCATGAAATGGCCGGGTGCAACAGAAACACAACTCCTCAATACGGGCAGCAGAAACACAACTCCTCAATACGGGGAGCAGTGTATTGTACGTGCATCGTTTTCAGCTGCTCACAACAAATCAGAATTCAAAACTGCTCAAATCAGAATAGTACCAAAACCAAATGACTCAAATAACTGAAATGTTGACAATGCAAATTCACAGTTCAAGGTTGAATTGCCTAATTCGGTTGATTTTTTCAAATATTGGTTTCCAGTCACATATCTGCACAAGTCATCAAATAAACAGGTTTTCTGGATAGAGTAGACAGGGCATTTTGAATCATCAAGCAAACAAATATGTTAATCATCACTTCAGATGCCCGATGTACTAAACATAGCATATATTGTGCATTACATCTGCTTTGCATAATTCCACTAGTTATCGCATTTTTTAAGTAGATGCATATTACTTTGTCGCGGTAAACCAGAAAAAATCTTAAGATACATAGCAGTGACATTCTAATAGTTTCTTTCTCAAGCATGAATGATAACATCTATAATATTCCAGCCTATAGATGTCTCGTACAATACATTACAATGATAACAAAATCAACCACCCCGGGCTTCTCTCCTTGTGGCATCGTGCAATAGTTCAATGTCCACACCTTCTGGAGGCAATTGCACATACCTCACCACTGATCCTCTGATGAAGCAGTTCCTTACAGAAAGCTGACATCAAACAGTAACATGTTACTGACTAAAAAGTAATCGAAATAGAATCAAAATCTGAAGCAAGTTAGGTCAATCAAATTAAGGAAGCCATATACCACAAAATTAATCGGAAAATAACATAAAGTTATACTCTTTGCATGCAAAAGCTGATCAGATGATTAGAGAAATTTGTTAAAATTTTAATTATAACTCAGTTCCCTCGAACCCATATATGTAAATTCTGTAAACCTTCCGCAAATATCATTTATATAATCAATCATCACATCATAACCACACATTTATCCTTTATGGTGCAAAAATACAACGTATTAACTCACTATGTTCATATCATTTTTTAATGACATGCCAAAATTACCTATTATTCAGGACAATAAGAAGTAAAAAAAATAATCATTGTTTAAAAAGTAACAAAATTATTAATTGTCTTGGTATGTGTAAGAAGTAAAAAAACGACACTTAAAAAGGAACGGAGGGAGTAATTAGTAATTACTATGAAATAAATATCTAAATTCTTGAGTTTTATCATTAAAAAAAGTATATGATCTTTTATACTTCGACTGGTCCTTTATAAATCAAAATCCCAGTAATAAAAAAAAAATTTCCCAACTACCAATGCCCTTCAAGAGATAAGTTGTAACAGTTTAAATTTCTCCAATTTCATAAATAATTAGCATAACAAAAATAGGGAAGATGAACATTAGCAGGCTCACTCAAAAATATGAATTGCCTCTGCCCTCTACTATGGAATTGTGCCAATTTACTGATTGCCCAACTCTATTTAAATGTGGATGAAGTAAAAAATATCACCTCGTCGAATAAAAACCAAAGAAAAGGAAGCAACATATCAGAGGAAAACATTCCAACAAAACATTCAATATATATCCATTTCATATTAACAAAGAGCCATGCAGAAAAAATGTTGCAGAGTGACACACCAACAATGAAATGAAGGAACCAAATGCTGACAGCAAAAGATGCATCAATGCAAATTTCATATATAATGGTTCGGCTATGAGCCCAATACAACAACTAATTTCAACATGTTTAAGGAATTGATTTAAGATCTAAAATACAGATTACAGAAATAAAATCCAGATAATTTAGCATAAAACTATATCAAAGCGTAGTAGTCACATTTTTTCTACTTTCTAAAACTTTTGATCCATAAAAGTTAATGCTACCCATGACGATTGCAAACAAGAAACTTGCACTCCCTTCCTCTGATAGAGACTCGGGTATTATGGGGTGCCCAGGTCCCCATATCGAGTATGGGGTGCTCTGTGGAGTATTTAAGTGGTTTGCTTCTTCCCCCTTTGATGGCTATATTTTAAGAGAAAGTTCCCCAAGTGTTTGAATACTTATCATCTGTTACCTGAGCTGGTTGCCGGTGGCTCAGTGTGGGCTACCTACAGAAAAGCTGGCCAAAGGCCGTGTAAAGCGACTTAAAGCACCAGTTTCCATGACGAAAGCTATTAGGGATGGTGCTATGATAGGGACTTGGGTAGTATAGGGTGCCCGAGTTCCACATCGAGTAGTATGGTATGCGCAGTGGAGTAATTTGGTCATGATACAATGCAACATCATAAAATAAAAAGAGAAATTAAATGACAGTGGCTCTAGTAGATATGATTTCTAGTTGCCAGTCATTGAAAAATCTAAAAAGTGATCAACATACAGGTAGGAGAATTAATGGATTTGATTATCAAAATTATGACAATGAAATAAAGCAAACTTTTGTGTTGTATATTGATCTAGTTTTTAACTCACATTGTTTGTATCTTATACATACCTACTTTCTTTTGTCTTTTCCTAACCATGTTTGCTTGTCTCCTTTATTAACACAATAGTGTACAATTTTTAGGTGGAATTGAGCATGGAAAATGACCAAGTTACAAGCAAGGAAATGAAAGTTGAGATTCCATCAGAGTGAAGTCATGTCAGGTACTGTTGAAGGTTCTAATGTGGGACAAGTTGGACTTATGAGACAGCCTAGTATGACCAAAACTAACTGTCTATGTTCACCAACAACACATCCTGGCTCATTTCGTTGTAGGCTTCATCGTACTCCTAGTCTCCAAAGAACCAAAAGTATGGAACAGGGATCAGTCTCTGATCAGAGATCTACATAAGGTCATGGTTCTATCGTTGATGCTAACAAGGATCAGATGCATTAATCTTCTATTGAATTTAATGTTCAATTATATTAAGCTGCTATAGTTATTTCTGTTATGTATATAAGTATAGGATTGTTCCAAAATCCATGTCGATCTCTCTGCATTTTGAACGAGTCTTTTTTTTTTTAAATTCTAAATCTGAACTGTGAAATTGGGAAATCGAACAAAATGATTCCCACAGAAACAGTAATTGTAAACAACATGATACCCTGAGCCACATAGTCCTTATTTTCAGCTTTATACAAAAGAGAAATTCTAAAATCCCCTAAATTTTCTAAAACAAGAAAATACCCTTTCCATCCTCTGTAGTTTTTCTTTCTACAAAGACTACAATACCTTCAAACTAAGTACCCTCCCCACTTTCCAAATCATATCCACTATATAACCAAGACCTGAAACTAAACACATATTTATAAATTAACCAATAAAATAAGCACGCAAGTGCCCAATTTGAATCCTAATATGCATCCCACCACAAGTCTTAATGAAACAAATACCTAATATACATATATCATGTATTTATCCTAGAAAACCCAAAACCCTAAATTGAATTTTAATAAACCAGAAACCCTAAATCCATACAATTAAAAAACTAACAATAATAAAACGAGGCTATAAAAACAATAAACCCTAGAGAGAAAGAGGTAGATACCATGTGAGGGTACTTGTCTTGATCAACCACACGAGTATTTTCGAGCTTGATGTTGAGGTATTGATCAACAGAATGCAATGTCCCTCTGATAGCCAAGTCGTTCTTGAGTTCTACCGTCACTTCTCTTCCCACCAAATCTTTGAAGTACGAGAAAAACAACTACATACAAAATCACCAAATGCAAACATCAAACTACAGAAACTGAAGCAGAGAGTAAAACACAAAGGGAGAAAAATTTACCATTTTTCGCTGCTATGAAGAACTGGAGAGAGTTGTAGTGGTAGAAAACAAAGGGCTGAACAAGTTAACCCCCAGCCTCCGCTATATAGTTTTCTTTTAAATAAAAATAATAATTGAAAGAGAAAAATATTGCGAGTGGAGGAGATCCTCTCAAATTTAAAAAAGAAAACGGCATCTACTTACTATAGTTTTGATAAAATAAATATTCAATTAAAGTTTAAATAGTTTTTGGCTTTGTTTTTTTAAATAATTTTTCAATGAAAAAAAAAATATTCGTCTCACACCTGACACTTGGTTTATGAAGGGAAGGGATAGGGTGTCTTTCATTTTTCATGCCTATTAGGAATAAATGTCCCGGTGGATTGGCGAAGCAGCGAGGGTGTTGAATTGTAAAATAGGTTCTTTTCCTTTAAATTATCTCGGTATCCCGATAGGAGCGAGTCCGAAGAAGATTAGTTGTTGGAACAAGGTGATTGAGATTGTGAAGTCTCGTAAAGAATAAACATTTATCTTTGGGTAGGCGGATTGTTATTAAAGTCAGTCTTGTTCTCACTTTTGGTTTACTTTCTCTCTATCTTCAAGGCTCCGTCAGATATGATCGATAAGCTAAAATCTATTTTTAAAAAATTTATGTAGGGAGGAATAGGGGAAGAGAGAAAAAATCATTTGGGTAGGTTGGGATAAGGTATGTGAGCCTTTAGAAGAAGGTGACTTGGGTATTAGGAATTTAAGGTTTTTTAACGAGGCGTTGATAGGTAAATGGGTTTGGAAAGTTAAAATTGTTAAATCGAGTTTGTGGTATAGGGCATTGGTTAATAGATATGGGATGACAAATGAGACCTTAAATTCAGGGGGTAGTGATAGTTCATTTTGGTGGAGAGATATTAGTCGGTTAGTATGTCGCAACTAGCCTCTAGCAGAGGCAGAAGAGTATTTTGTGAAGGAGGCGTACAAGAGGCTAATGTCGGAGTCGCAAAGTCATTTGAATATTCGATGGTCTAGCGTATGGAATAAGGCGGATCCATCAAAAGTGTCGGGGTTGGTTTGGAGAATGTGGGAGCGAAGAGTTTGTGTCTCACCTTTTTTTGAGAGCTCGGTGTTTACAAGTGTTTGGAATTGCATAAACTAATGGTCGGGAGTGCCCATTATTATGCATACTGAGGGTTAGCAACATTTAGTGCAATTTTGTGGGCTATTGGGCAGCGGGAATCGATTATTCTCAAAGATAACACTGATTTGGTTTGCTTGCGTGTGGATAATTTGGAAGGCCAGGAATGAAAAAAATGTTTCGAAATAAGGAAGTTACATGTGTTAATATGGTAGATGAGACAAAGGTCTTAACTTGGAAATGGCTCAGATTCAAATCAAGAATGATTTCTAATAGTATTTCTCAATGGTTGACACATCCTAGAGAGTGCCTCAGACTCTCGGAATAGTTTTTTGTGCAGAGTCCTTAGAGGTTGTGGTTTTCTGGAGGTGTTCCCAGTGGTTATGTGGCTGCAGTTCTCTTGGGGTCTTCTCTTGTGCTTGCTGGTTATTTTTGGTTTGCTTGCAGCAGGTTTTTGGCTCGTTGTTGGTGTGGCGGTCTTGTTGAGGCGTGGTTTTATAGTTGTGTGGCTTGGCAAGTCCGTTTTTGTGGTTGTCCCGGCTTGTGGGACATAGCTTGGGTTGTTGTAGAAGGTTTTATGCTCCAGATGGAGCTAGCCTTTTGAATTTTGATCAATGGGCAGATATCTAGGGCGGTTGTTTTGGTTGCCTTTGCTTTAAGCGATCAGGTTTATTTGTGTAGTGCAGTGTTGGTTGTCAGCCATTGTGCAATTTTTTAGTTTTGGAGTCAATTTGGACCTGTGTTTGGAGTGGTTATGGTTTTTTCAACAGAGTCGGATTGGCTTTTGTTTTTGGAGCAGTTTTGTGGTTGGTGTGGTCATGTGATTGTTGTTTGGTTTTTTGCTGCTACTGGTGTGGTTTTTTTAGGTGGGCGGGGCGGATAAGCATGTAGCCAGTAGCCTGTTCGGCGTGTGCGCTCAATTGTAGAGTGATTCGCCCTTTTGTTTAAGTCAGCTTTCATTTGTGTTCAGGTGCAACTAGTGGTGTTTGAGTTTGCTTTCTTTTCCAGCTCTGGTTTTGGTGTTGGGGGCTTTTTTGTGTGCTTTTTCTGTTAGTTTGTTTATTCTGTAACTATCAGTGGTTTTTGGTGCTGGGAATTGGAGTTTTTGTGGGTGATTGCTGGTATATTTTTCTTTTTTCCTTAGTTGTTGTATATGTGGTCCTTGTTGTTTTTTTAGTAGTTTGGATTGTGGATCTATGTATTACTTTGCATAGCTTATGCCCTTGTTAGTAGTATTATATTTGCTTTGTTGTTCCTAAAAAACTATTCTTTTTCTCTCATTTAATTATTTTTATAATCATTTATTTAAGTTCTAATATACACTAAAGGTAGCCAATAGTAAAGGTAGCTAATTCTACCCCGTGTTATTGGTGTTTATTGGTGTTAAGTGTCCATCAATAATTTAAGGACGAAAATCAAAAGAAGTTTAACATTTAACAACTATTTTAAAAAAATACAGAAGAAAAAAAAACCATAAACTCCTAACTTATATAAACTATTGATATTGGTAAGCCTTTAATTAATACCACATATATTAAAATTTTGAATTTATTTTAAATGAATTTTTTTTATTAAATTAAATAATTAATTTCATTTATTTATTTTTAATTAATAATAAAATCAACTTTTAGTTTCAGATAATAATTTATTAACTTTTACGTCATAAAATTCACTGGCCCCATCTCCCTTAGTCTAAAGATGTTTGTAAAGACTATTAGAGAAGTCGCAATACGGTGCCTCATAAGTTGTTTTGATTGGTGAAATGGTGGATTTAAATGCCTTTTACTTATCTTCTTGAGTAAATTGCTTTTTTAAATGCTCTAAACAGGTTTCTCGCCATTGTATGACTCATTGAGGCATCAAGGATTTCTAAATTAATATCCAACATAAGTAATTGCCTCATGGATGTTAAGGATTCCTTTGTGAGGATCCAGCATAATTGATTGCCTCATGGGCAACAAGGATTCCTCCATGAGGATCCAGCATAAGTGATTGCCTCATGGGTTGCAAAGATTCAACCATTAAGATCTAACATAAGTTATTTCCTTAAGGGCAACGATGATTACTTCATTAGGATCCAACATAAATGATTTCCCTATGGGTAGTTTTTATAAAATTCTCAACATCAATCCTTAATTCTTGTAAAAATAAAGTGGCATTACTCCAAAATTCATATAACAACGTGAGGTGCCTCGTTTAAAAAACCATGCTCCTTATTACTAAATGCAAGGGAAAAGAATGCCCCAAAAAATAAACAATGCCTAAGAAATAAATCATACACTCAGCAAAGATGGTACCTTTGAATGTGAGGAAAATACACAAGAATGAGGGTTAAATTGTGTATGCCAAAAACTCATTTCACTTCTGAAACTGAAACATCAGAATCTGAACCATGTTTTGAGTCTGATATCAGATCTAGTAACAGCAGCGGAAATATAATGCTCAGAAGTAAATGCAAGCAACACATAAAGATTATCCTAGTTCCTCTCCTCAGTTGATAGTAGTCCACTCCCCTTGCCTCAACAGGAGTTTTTCACTATAACCAAACAGATTACAGTTTCTCAAACACACTTGCAAGAGACTTATATGCTTAATTAACCTAGAAATATACTTCTGCTCAAGCAACCTTGCAAGAGACTCCTGCTCAATCAACCTAGAATGAGACTTCCTTTGCTCAAGTACACAGGCAAGAGACTTCAATGCTTAAGCACGTAGGCAAGAGACTTCCTCTACTTTAAACAAATAGTTTAGTAGAAAAGGTAACTACTATATTTTGATACATAATCAAAAGTATAACAGTTGTGCAAAAACCACAAGGGTTTTCAACCTTTTTAAGATTTCTGTGATAATCTTATATAAGAAATCTTAAGATCTTATGCTATAAAAATTACAAAAATAATAGCTCAAAGTTATGCCAAGATCTTTCGATGCATTGTGATGTTACAACCATCCTTTGAATCTTTAGCTTCATTTTATAGAGGCGGGAGAAAGAGCCGTTGGAGGGTTTGAACAACATAAAACTTAGTGAACAAGAAGACCAAGAGAGACGTTAGAGAGTTGTATCCTGTCAGAAGTGTTATCCACTGAATAATATTAATGCCCACATCACCTCTCAAATAACTAGGTATCTACCAAAATGTAGAACAAACTGAAGAGGTCACATCACCATACTTGAGTCTTGCAAAACCAATCCCTAGTTAACTATGTCCAGAAAATTATCGCTTTGACAAGACTTTCCAGCTTTGGTGCAAAGTACGAACCTGACGCTTCTTAGGCCTTTAGGGTTTGAGTTGTCGCAAGAGTCTGAAAGTATACTAGAGTCTAAGCCTTCAGATACTGATAAACATGTTTAGAGTTACAAGATTATAATCATTCAAAATCTGAGTAACATTGCTACTTCGCATATACTTACAATCAGGGTTAATTCATGATGAATTCTTAACTTGTGATCCTGCACACTTGAACATATGTTAGTATACTTATTTGTTCTATAAATACTTTGTTATCATCAAAACCAAAGGAGAATAAACAATCTTGTTCCAATAATTTCCCCCTTTTTTATGATGACAAATAAATGTATTTAAGAACAATGGTTGGTCATTTTTAACTAACTTGACAACCATCAAAAGTCATCATTGCAGGCATTAAATGATCGATTGATCCATCTTTCTATTGCAACATTTAAGATACTCAATCTTCCTCTATAAAAGCAAGCCATTAGAAATATATTTATCATTTTTTCATTCAACTCTTCTTTTCTTCAAGCACTATGAGTTCTCCAACCAAGAAGGAGACAACCACCATTCTGGATGAAGTCCCAGCACCATATTGTCATACCCCAAATTTGTCATATTTCTATATTAATTTTCACTTGTAAAAAAAATCCAAAAAATAT